ATCTTGGCTACTTAGTATCCTTCAAGCGCAAGTGTTACCTTCTCCATCTGGAAGGTAGTGATGGTGGAGTTGACTCTGCACTGGTGCTAACATCATGCACTACTACGGTTTCTGGGCATCCTCTCTCCCTCGGTGTCGCTGAGAGTTTTCCTCCGGCTTGCACACGTGCGCTGGATTGATGTAACCTTTTGTCAGGGACGCCAGGCAACGCGAAGCTGTCTGCATATAATCTTCTGTCTCTCGCTCGATGCTTTGTACGTAGAGTGGCGCGTCGAAAACCGCGACCTTTGGCAGGTGGCGTTATTTTTATTTGATAAATGTGCACTAAATGTAGCTACACTTTATAACAGCGTGAAAACGGCCTTAGAAAAAGTTAAACTTGGTAAGAGTCGCTTTTGTGTTTTAAAGTGGCAGTGTCTTTTGAGGTGGGGGGGTAGAGAGACGGACGGACGAAGGGAGGGAGAGAGAGAGAGAGAGAGAGAGAATGTCTTGTGCAGTCATTTGACAGGATATCCTGCTTTGTGGAAGAGACAGAGGCTGTGTGTACGCACACATCTGCCCGTACTGAGACGTGCCTCGATAAATAGCGCCAATCGCAGTTTCTGTCGCCTGTGCGGTTTTGAATATAATCATTTGCCTTTGTGGTGGGGGTGGCCCTGCATTGGCACCATTTCCCATGGACGCAGAGTCTTTTCATCTACATCCCGTCCTTTCTGCAGCTTCCTGCTGCCTTCCTCCACCCGCTCCAGTGTTCAGTGACATCTCGGAGGGGGGGGGGAGGGGCTTCCTCCTCCTTCAGACGTGCCCGCCGGCTCTCAGAAGCCTTTTCCTGTGGGGCTCTTGCGTTTCATTGTGTAATGGAAACCGCCCCGTACGGCTAAGCTTAACCTTGCAGGGGGGGGGGGTCATTAAATGCATGCAGGAAACTCCTCCCCTTCATGGTCAGGTGCTCGGAACGGTCCACCAGGGTGTCCCCTAGAGGGGGGGTGAGGACACTGTGGTGTAGGTGAAGCGAAAGCGCCATAAGCATGTTGGCTTTTTGGGTCTCCCTTGTCCACCCCCCCCTCTGTCCTGCTTTTTTTGTTGCACGGGGCCCCAGTGCGGACGTGTCACTTTTCACAGTATGAAGTTTGTAACTAGAAGATCTGATCAGCATATCATCAGTCACAGGTTCAGCGGCGGATCCTGCAAACGTGTCGGCTGTGGCTTCGGGTGAAACCAATGTCCGTAACCTGAGGTTTTCACGCATTTCTGAAAGGGTGTCGGCACTTATAATAAGCATCTTTTCTGGTGCCGGGGGGGGGCGGATTCTCCAGGCTATAGTTTTCTGATTATCTGGGTGAAATGTCCCTGTCTCTCTCTAGGAAAGTAAGAGCTCTCTTGTTACCATCCTGAATTATTGAGACCCCCCCACCCCCCACCAGCAGACCCATTTAGTATCCTTCCTGTATACCACAGACCCTGTGTGCACCCCAGGCTTGGTCCAGTGGTCGTTTTGAAATTGAATTTCAGAGACGCAGGTGTCATTGTTCCAGTCCTGACCGTTCCACCGTGGATGCGAGTTCTGGTTTTCATTCATGGTGTCGCTATCGGATGTGGGCGGAGTCGACCGCTAGCGCAGATGTAACCCCGGGTAGCATGGCGTGTTTCTGATGTTCTGGAGGCTCGTTCTGGAGGCTCGTTCTGGAGGCTCGCCCGGATTCCTTTGCAGCCTCGGTATTTGGAAAAAGCGTTTTTATCTTTGCGTTTTGGGGTTTGCGGTAAACAGCTGGTTTTGGCAGCGTAAGGAGGGTCCAGGTGCACAGTGGCTCACCGAACGGTGACCGTGTGCTCTAGAAGCGGACCGCACCATGCCTGTGGCTGTCACCTGCGTCCTGGCCAAGTGCTCCGGGCACGGCTGTCACACAGCTAGCTCATGCTCTGGTTTTTAACAAAAGGGCAGCAAACCTGCACTAAGGACCAGTCAAGCGACTGGTCCCCCCCCCCCCCCCAAAACACTTTCCTTTCTTTGTGGTTTCGACAAGAGCCTTCAAGAACGCTGAGGCTGCAGAAAAGCTTCAAAAATGACTGCACTGAGCGCGGCGCCTCCTGTTCGCTGCGGCGCTGGTTCCCGTTTGAGCTGTGGGCCGAAACCTGCCACCCACACAAGTTATCCAGTCAGGGAGCGGCGTTGCTGGGCCACCGGCATTTCACGTCCAGAGAGGGTCGGCCGATGACCTCAAGGTGAACGGTGACGGCACGTTCTTCCCATTCTGGGAATAATAACGGCCTGCATCTTCTCGGATTTCGATGGCTCGAAGCCATTTTCCGAGTTCCAGGAACATTACATAACTCGGCTGCCGAGGCTGGATACGAGGTGGGAAGGGTGGATTGACCTCGGCGCACCCTGAGGGGGCTCCTGTCTCCCATTCTGCAGCTGCGCCTTGCCAGACGCCCCTCCGTGACCTTGAGGGCGTGCAAGGTCGATGCTGATGTCAGGCGCCTTTGAGAGTGGTGTCAGCTGGTGATTTAGGCTTTTAACAATGTGCGAAGGATGTATCTCAACAAGTCTCACCTGCTAATCATCAATCTGGACAGAACCAGTTATGTCCCTAGTCATTCGACTGGACAAGAAATAGACAAATCTTTTTCTGTAGTGTTTTATAGGTTTTAATCTTGAGGTCAGAATGCTGCTGCTGCTGATGATGATGATGATGATGATGATGATGATGATGTTGATGATACTAGTGTCAAAATCACTTGAGGACATGACGACCTGCTCCTGGATAAGACACATCTCCCTAGGGAGGCTTCGGAGTGTGGAGTGTTTATGGAAAGAGCTGCCCAAACTTTTGCACGCCCCAGACACGAGGCAGCCTGATGGAGCCGGCTGGGACGGAGCCCAGCCGGAGGAGTCTTGGGCTTTTCAGTGTGAGTCACACATGACGCGCGGTCCTATCCGACTCGCGTTTTCACGAGGGGACACATGCTGGTCAGGCTTTGTGGGAGTAACGCCCATGTGCATGCTGAAGCATTGACAATGCGGAGAGTCGCCTCCTTGTGAGACAAGGAATGGCTCCATCTGTTGGAAGTGGGCATCACAGGTGATGTGGCCCCTGTTATATCAGCCCCTGAACCCACCCATCTGTGTTTATCCCCCAATGATTTGCTCAGAATTATTTGTACTGAAATATCATTGGAGCTGCATGTGATTCACAACAGTCTTATCCAATTAAGCCAGCCTGGCCCTGCAGCATGACTGCTTGAAGGCAGGCCTTCTACATGTGAACCAAGGATGGGGGCTCACTAGTCATTGGACAGGTATAAGGAGGCTTAATATGCAGGGAAAGGCTGTGGGCCTTCTACTAATGTCCCAGATCGTGGTGACCTGCCTGCTCCCAGAAAGTCGCTCGTTGTGCCTGACAGCCCTGGTGGCATCCCCGTGGTTTGTTGCCCTTTCACTGTTACTTTTGGCCCAGCTTCACGTTCTACACAAGCCGCTGGATCTCCCAAGGCAAACTTCTTACTCGACCCGAGTGATGGACAAAATGACGCTTCATGAACCATTTGCTGTATTTTTCTGACCCCACTAGATGGTGCTGTCTGTTGAAAAAAGGGCACAAAGCATGCTCCAGAGCAAACCGAGCATCATCTAGTGGGGTTCATGAAGCTTCATTGGCCCATCACTACCAGAGAAACCCCTCTGATCTGTGGAGGTCAGTCAAATTACTTGGGAGGCTGCCATCACGTGCGCACAGCATTCACGTACTGAGCGGCCCTGCATGGAACACGGCTCTGGGACTGGTGTGTCATGGGTGAGCTGGCGGCGAGTTGCACAGCCAGCCAGATGTCGGAACCAACCGTGAAAATCTGGGCGAGGACGAAAAGGGGAACCCCTCACTGTGCCGCCGACTGTGGCTAACCGCACTGGCGCCTTTGAAGGGGAGGGCCTGGGAAGAGAAATATAAGTGTTCTACTTGGCATACAGAGTGGAAGAGGTGCATGCTGGGAGAAGGAATGAGAAGACCAGCGGTCTCTGTCAACCAGGATCTCATTCACTGTATTCCTGGGTTTTGATGATTTAAAGGTAGTCTTCATCTTCCCACTAGAGTGGTTCTGTGTGTGTGCGTGGTCATGGGGGGTCTTATCACAGAGCCCACATGCCTGAATCCACGGTCGCTCAGTATAGTATGGTAACCATTAAGACGACCAGCCCGCTCCCCTCACATATTCCAGTGCTGAGAGCTGTTTCAGAAAAACACAGCGTGGACAGCGGCCTCGCGCCTAGTCACTCACGCCTTCATCCTAAAGCTAAACTGTTCCATGTTTGGTGAGTCTGCCCCCAAAACCTGATGTCACTGCAGTTTCGAGGGTAACCTGTCTTTGAGCACAGTTCTCCCTCTCGCTGATGGGACGAACATCTCCGCACTACCCTCAGAGCTGATATGTTCCTGCTAAGCTCGGCCTCTTCACTTTCCTTTATTTACTAAATGCGTTCAGTTTCTCACTTATAGTAGACCGAACGCCAGCATTCTGAGAAGTGTGATTCTTTCAGTTCCTTATGCCAGCTACTGAGGCTGGAACGTCTGCACACAACTGCATGCTGATGACTACCGTCTTGCTGGCTGTGTTAAATTTTTTTTGTTTGTTTTCACCAGGCATCGCCCCATGAAAAGGTTGCAATTTCCACAGGCAGCCTTTTCAAAACTAGGCATTCCTAATGACGTAAATGAGGTGTTTTGTCTGGTAATTTCAGTATGGCGGCCGGAACATTTTTAGTCTTCCTGGTGGAAGTGAGAGATCTTCCTGAACGTGACGGTGGTCAGGGGGACGCCCCGACCCGTGCCTCCAAAACGTGTTTGGATTAGACTGGACCGTCGCCTTCGACTTTACCTCACTAACGCTTCAGGGGGGAGCTGCGACACGTTTGGCTTAATTAAAGGGTGAATGGTTTGGGTTCTGCATCTTTGGTGGTGACTGGTGGTCTGGGGTAAAATGCTTCCTGTTTTACCTCCACGCAGGTTTGTATGAAAGCAGGGAAGCAGTGAAGGACAGCAGTGCCTTCCAGCATGCCGCCCCCCGCCGACATCGTGAAGGTGGCTATCGAGTGGCCGGGGGCTTTCCCTCGTCTCATGGAGATAGACCAGGTGAGATGGAGGTCGCCTGAGCCGCGTGGCCTCGGATATTTTCGACAATCGATCCGACTGAACGCAGAGAGTGAGAACGCAGTCCCCTCCCCCCTCCTTGGAGAATAACTGCAGAGTTAAGCATGCACGTTCCCATGGGTCACTTTGAATGTGCTTTTCTCGTGTTTTTATGTGTTTAGAAAAAGCCCCTCTCGGCCATCATTAAAGAAGTTTGTGAAGGGTAAGTCTTTTGTTGTGTTTCTAGGTCATTCTAGAAAGTCCTTTACTTTTGGGTGTTCTGATATCTGCTGAGGCGTGTCCTCTGGTGAACTCAATGTGCATGTGCGTGTATGTTTGCCTCCTATATGTCACCTGTCTATGTTATCTGTGCAGTACATGACTTTAGTGGGATCAGCAATAAAATGTCTGTTTCCCTGACTCCTGTCACAATGCCCTTCTGAATGTCCTCCTTTTGTTTTGTTCAGCTGGTCCTTGGGGAACCATGAAAATTATGCTCTACAGAACGCAGACTCCACTAATTTCTACATTACTGAAAAGGTGAGCTATTTGCGTCAATGTACAGACCGTATTCACATCAGGACATTAATTCATTTTAATGTATCAGATTGAACCACCAGATGTGTATGTGCAGATCAGACAGGGCAAGTGTGTATCACTGGTAAACAAACTGCAGTCTTGTATTAGGTGTGTGAAATTGAAAGTAAGTCTAGTTGAGGGCTGTTCAAATCATGGTCCGCAAGGTCTGAGTCCTGCTGATTTTCCACCCTTCCTTTACCTGTGAAGGGTAGCCTCTGGCCAATCAGAATCAGTCATTATTAACTACTTGGGAGTGACTGAAAACATGGCCCGGATTTGGAATCGAGGTCCAGATTTGAAGAGCCCTGCTCCAGTTTCTGTACTGTAACCCAGTTTTTTTTTTTGATTTTTAGAATCGCAACGAGATCAAAAATGGTTCGATTCTGAGGCTGACTACGTCCCCTGTGAGTCGCAGTCCGGTTGTCATCTTAAGCTTCACGCACTCTGGCTCTTTCATGTGGATTTTGTTGCATAACTTGCGACCATTTTTGTACGGGGGGGGGGTCATGGGTTTCATCATGCCTATTAAGTGTAATTATAATGTATGAGCATGTATGTGGGTGGTTATTACTGCATTGTTAATTATTAATTATCTGCTAGCTTATTAATTAGCTCGCCTGCAGTTTAACGTGTTGTTTCTCTTCCCTGGGGGTGAAGATGTTTTGGGGCCTAACCCTGCAAAATTCTACTCCACTCCAGTCAGGGGTGCTGTGAAGGGGTGGGGTTAGGACAATTTAGGCCCCAAAACATTTGGAACACAATTGGATTGGTCTGGGTTGGGGACTTTCATGGAGCCCAAAATCTTCAGCAGGTCCCTTAACTCGGTGCCCTACCTTTCGAACCTGTGGCGTATCTGACATTGACCACCCCCCCCCCCCCCCCCAGGCCCAGACGTCACAGCAGCTCCACGAGCGCATCCAGTCGTCCAGCATGGACGCCAAACTGGAGGCCCTGAAAGACCTGGCCAATGCGTCGCGCGACATCACCTTCGCCCAGGAGTTCATCAACCTGGACGGCATCTCCCTGCTCACCCAGATGGTGGAGAGCGGCACCGAGTAAGTGCATCGCCCTCCTGTCACCTGGTCGTCACCGCGCCGCCTCTCCCTCCGTCTCTCGAGGGAAGCCGTACAGCCGGCCCTTACACTCCTGCAACTGCAAGTCACCTAAATTTACCCGTTTTACTCAATGCAGTCACATTAAAGTCTTCAGTTATATGTGCATCTATAAAGGTATTTGCACATTCACTTTGTATTTATTAGTTAGTTAATAATTTTCCCCAAACCTTTGATTGGCGAGAGTCCTTGGAGCATTGGGTCTTGACACAGCCTCCACTTTCAGGTCCGTTCTGTCAGCAGCCCCCGCCCCCCCGGCCATGCTGTGCGCTCAGAGTTAGGTGGAAAAATCCCCAGGGTGAGGCGGACGAGTGCAGGCCACCCACAGGCTCCCCCCTAGCGGTAGTGCCACGCTCGTGGAGTTTAGAGGACGCTCTCTCCTACAGAGATTAATAGAGCTGGTTTCCACAGCGGGGGGGCCCTTCTGTGACACAAGCCAGCAACTTTAAGGTCATTAACCGCAGCGCCACCTGCTGCCTGTTCAGCAGCTAACGCTTGTGACCCAAGGAATCTGTGTTCGCACTGCTGTGCCAGTTTCAGAAGTTAAACTCATTCCTAAGTGATTGTAAGGGCCAGGTTACACGTGGGAAGTTCGTTGATTTATTTATTTATACTTTGATTTTTGTCCCATTTCTCAGACCAGCAGCCTCCCTGTAGGGGTCGACTAGAGGATTCAGACATTCTTTTAAGGGGTGGGGGTGGGGGGGCAGCTTTTTGCCTGTCAGGAGTGCACTGGGGGTAACAGCACCTTGCCCTCGGCTGTTCATGGACGGATCCTGACTGCGCTAATGCACATAGACACATCCCAAGGTGCCGCCCTTAAATGCCCCCATCTCACCATTAATCTATTTCTTTTCCGGACTCTGGTCGTTCCCCTGCCTCAGATCCGCCACGTCAGGCTACTTTCCCCGTCAGCGTCACTCTTCAAACCCTTTCTCTATAAAGTCAAATCGCAAGCTTGCCTCTCACGTGTGCTTGTGGTAAATCCCATCAGGCTGTATCCTGATGCAGCTGGAGCACACGCTTCAGTGTAAGCTGTCTGCCAAGCCTTTTGGATGAATTATTTAGGAGGAGCTCTACGCTTTATGGTTTCCAGATTCTGAAGATGAGTCCCCTAACCCTGTTCCGGGCCGACTTCTGTATAGTACGGCTTTTGTTCTGCTTAGCATTAGCGGTTTCGCGTTCGCTAGGCGCCCGTGTTCAGACCGCCTCCGAAAGCTATAGCGCTAAAGTGCAATTTTTGCAATTGTGTAGCACCATCTAGTGGCGAATTTGTCATTACACAGGCCAAGAAGTTTGAAAGGATGTTTGGACAATGCAAACCACAGGGTCCCAGTTTCTATAATTCATGTGCCCCAGGCAGCCATTCTCATTGCTCCTTGTTTACATTTCTTAACAATTAGAACTCATTGACAGGTTAATTTTAATCTGACAGTTTTGACATTGGTTACTCAATCGCTGAGTGCTGCCAAGACTTGGAATAAAAAAGTTTAGCAATATTTTTTTCCACTCTGCTATGAAAATGAAAGGCTAGGGTTATAAAGATTGGAAGGTTATATCTGTGAGAAGGTTTAAAATTTCCTGATAATCTTATCAGACCTATCAGGTGGGGGGGGGGTGAAATATTTGTATCCGTAGGCAGGTGTTCCCATTAACACAGCTTGCTGACCGGACACTCGAAAATGAGATGGTAACAAGACCCAATGTTCAGATTTGGTCAGCGTGTATCTAAATGCAGTGGGGTGATATTGTATCACATCCCTGAATGTGGGGTCACAATTCAACTGGAAGTATTTTATTTTGTTTTTCTAATGTGTGCTTGCTTGTATCCAGGACATAGCAACATCTTCCGCTGGTGTTGGCAGTTTTAGGTGAACCTTTATTGTATTTTGCAAAGTATAGAAAGTGTTACAGGTGATGTGCCTCCCAGCCCTAGCAGGATTTCCAGAAAAATCCAACCCCCCCCCCCCCAAGAGTGTTTTTTTTTCCTATTTTTTATTTTTTATTTTTATTTTTTTTTAAGAAATGTTATGGAATCCGACAGGCGGGATCCGATTTTGTCACATGTCCATTTCCTCTCTTCTGTGTCATGTTCGGCCATGTTGTTTTCCTGTGTCCCTGACGTCAAAGTTTTTAAATCTTTGCAGACGGTATCAGAAACTTCAGAAGATAATGAAGCCCTGGTAAGCCCCCCACCCGGAAAACCCCACTGCCTATTTCTCCTCTTAATCTACTGACCGAATTTTGCATGATTTGGCTTGGGCCTCTCATCCCCCCCCCCCCTCCCCGGATGAGCGTCAGCCAGGAAGATCTTCATTCGTTCCATGTGACCGATCCTCTCTTCTGCTCGTCCTGCATGTGATGTTGGCCAAAACTCCCCCTGATTTCAAAACAGACACTTCAGAACCAGAGCCCACGCAGGGCACGTTTTCTTGGTGGAGGGTGCTGTATGGGTGTGGTATTTCCCTTGTGATGCACTGGCATCAGTCTCTCATGCCAATTCAGTAAGCAAAAACTGGCTAAATGTACTTCTATGCTGGGCAAAATGGTGTGAGACCCTTACCTGTAGTGGTGTGTACTTTAAACGTAGAGTAGTTTCTACTGTGGATGTAGATCTGGACTTCATATAGCGTTCCAGTTACTGTGAGGTTTCTCATGCACGGATCACATGACTAATGACTGGCATGTGCAGATGTTTAGTCCAGATGTAGATTTGAACCTTCTGCCACACCTGCTGTACCGCACACCCCTATGCATTCATCTTAATCCTTTATATATGTGGATCTGTCTGTGGAGATTCCCCTGCACAGATGTAGCACATCTTCTATTTATATCTAAGGATGTAAAAAAAAAAAAAAAACGCTGATGGATTTTTAAGATGGAGCAGCACAGGATGTATACTGTATAGGTCCCATTTGAGTTGTAATTATGGAATCCTTGCAAAGATTTCTGCATTTAAGTGGGGATTGCTTACATGCTTATTTTTTCTGTAATTAACTTGCTGTGTTTTTTTTTCTTTAAATCAGTGTTTGTTTTATCTGCAAAATGCTTTATATTCATGTACTGGTTATCTACATGTGTTCCATATGTTTTCCGCCGGCCGTGTCCAATCCTGGTTCTGGGCTCTTGGCTTTGCTCAGGATTACGTTTTGATTGGCTACGTTAGTTCAGAAATCGGCTCTCAGCTGGAAGGAGCTTTTGCAAAGCCATGAGCTTCCGGGATCATGAATGGACACCTGTGTTTTCAGCCTGTTAACTAGAACTGTCCACTGTTCTGTCTCACCTGACAGTCATCTGTATTAATCTGTGATCAATTACCCCAGTACCCCCCCCCCCCAGAGGGTAAGAGAAGCAGCATTGTTTAGCGTTGTTAGGTCCTTTTATTTACGCAGATATAGTTTGTGTCAGTATAAATATTGATTGCCACTTAGGGTTCACTGCTTTACGAAAGAAATCCTTGTTTTAACAAAGTAGCTTTATAATGTAGATTGAAAAGGCTTCTGTTGTGAACTGGAGGTGATCTCTCTGTGAACCGCTGACCTGTATTAACCCTAATTCCGTGTTTAAAAGAGCAAAAACTGATTTCTTGCATGCCTGAAAACCTGCTTCAGGCATGCAAGAGGGAACGCAGTAATTTTATTTTTTAAATGCATTTTAGCTGGTAGCTTTGACTGCCTTTTGTATTCACAGCCAGGAGAGGGCAGTGTTGTTAATAATGAAGATACAATGCGAAGTGGATGTAGAGTATGACAATGAATCATAAACTGAGCTTAATCATGGTATATTTGTTTCCAAATTCTGTACATGTGATTTACAGCTATAATAAACTAGTACATGTTGAAATATTATCAAAAAATTAACAAAGCACCTGAAAGCAGTGAATTTAAAGGAAGTAAATGGTCATATTTGATCAATGACAGGATTTTCATAGGCAATGATTTGTATTTTTTGTTAAAAATTAATACAATGTCGAAATGTTGCAGTGTCGGTGTCTCTATAAAGGCAGTATGTAATATGTGAAGGCTTGTAACATCACTTTCAGTGTGTAATATGTCTGTTGCTCTTTAAATTTCCTGTTCATCTTACCGGCTAACCTCTCTTGATTACGTGTGACCCGTTGACCAGTTTACTAATGACCAGATAACCATGCATGGGAATGCTGTACAGCTTCAACGCTTGCTCTGGCTCCCTCTGGTGCCCCCTTCTGGTGACCAGGTGTCAGAGCACCGTCAGTACCCACCGCGCTGTGGAGCTTCCCTCATGTTCGTGCGTCTGGTCCAGCGCATCTGGCTGCAGCTCTGCCTGCACTCCGCTATGTCCCGCCCCCCCACCCCCCACCAGTGCTTTTGCTTGGCTTCCCTGTGTGTTAACAGAGGTGATGCGATTGGTTGTTGTGTATCTCATCTGTTCCAGCTTCGGGGACTTGCTGTCATTCACCTTGACGGCGTTCGTCGAGCTGATGGACCACGGCATTGTCTCCTGGGACACTTTCTCGGTGCCCTTTATCAAAAAGGTGCGTTTGGAGGCACCGTCACTCAGGGCAACAGTGGATGCTGATTTTCCATGCGAGACATCCAGTTTATTGATAGCCCAGGTCACCTGACCCTGTTTGCCAGCCACCCATTCGCTGTCATCCATAGACCAGATGTTTCCATTATTCGCAGCTGAACTTCTGATTTTCTCCGTGGGAAAATTCCTGTTAAGCTTTGTGGAAAAGCTGCTTGTAAAATTTAGCGATGCTTAAAAAAAAAAGACAAAAAAACACATCAGTTGAGTCTTTTGAAGTCTAAGATTTAAAGGCTGTGGAGGAGCTTGTAGATTTGAGGTTGAACATTACTAAAAGAGTCGATCGTGCCTTGAAGTGCAAAGACTGTAAAGGGAGTAGGAATATGAATGCATCAAGCTTTTTAAGGAAGGACATCATTCACTGAAGATAACAGTTCATTTCAATATGCCAGAAAGGAAGACTGATATCTTAAGTGTTCCCTTCCTCAAGGGTGCAAAAAAAAAACCCAAAATAAATAGTTCTGTAATTTTACATTTTTATAATGCATTTTGGTTGCAGATTGCAAGTTATGTGAATAAGTCTGCCATGGACACAGCTGTGCTCCAGCGGTCTCTGGCCATTTTGGAGTCCATGGTGTTGAACAGTCAAGATCTTTACCAGAAGGTGGCGCAAGAGATCACTATCGGGCAGCTCATACCACACCTTCAAGGGTGAGGCTATGTTTTTGCCGCTTGCCTGATCTTTCATTAAATTTAATTCCGTTTTTGTGTCAGTACCTTATACTCAGGCCTGTGGAAGAATGCACCTCTATTAGGGTGCTTGGATATCAGTGTCCTCGTGGGTTGGGGGCCTCATCAATGTCATTCTGCAGATCTGTCTAATGCTGCTGTTGTCCCTTTGTGGCAGAACTGAGCAGGACATTCAGACGTACACCATTGCTGTAATTAATGCCTTGTTTCTCAAGGCCCCAGAGGAGAAACGACAGGTAAGGATGCCCAACACCCACATCATTGTTTTACTGTGTGTGTGTGTCGTACTGAAGATGGGTAATTTTTTTCTAAATTGCTGAAGATGGTGCTATCTTTAGACCTGTATCACTCTCCTATCACCTTGTGTAATGGAATTGCGTGGGAGCCTCAGTCTCTGTGTTGTGTTTTTGCGTGTCGGTTTCTCCTCTTAGTTTGTACCTCAACTGCAGCCTTGTTCCCCGCCGGCCTCGTCCACTGGCCGTGAAGCTTCTCGGTCATGTGACGCAGTCTAACACCACCCATATTTGTAGTGACATCATGCCAGTGCGCTTGTGGCAATTCAGACAGTTCTGAATTATTAAATCACCCATCAGATCCCAGTCAAACCCTAGGCGAAATGTGTGGGGTGGGGGTGGTGGTAACATCCACTGATTCCCACAGCCCAAACTGCCACGTTGGGGGGGGGGGGAAATCAGCCGCGTACTTATGAACTCTCTAGAGACACGTGTGAGTCCTTGATGAGTCTGCTGTCATGGTAAATGTTTGGTGGCTTGGATTTATGAGCGGGATTATGAAACGGAGGCAGGATCAGAAGGGCATAGAGCTGGATCCAGTGGCTCATATGCTAAGGCCGTCGTGGAGGAACCCTTGGTCCGCCAACTGGTACCAGCTTCAGCTGTCGCTGTGCTTCTCCATTCATTATTTTAAGCCCCCTGGCATGACTCCGCAGCTGCTCAACTAACAAGTCTCTGCCTCCTCTCTCTTCCTCTCTATGCTGCACTAAAATGGTAGCTTGATGACAATGTCAACATCCTCGATTGTCCCCTGACAGTAAGTGCTCTGGTCATGGTTAAACCCTAGGTGTCCTGGCTTCACTGCACGTCCATTTCGCTCTGTCTGTGTTTCAGTTTGTCTCTGTGCATTTTTCCGTCCTTTGTTAAGATGCGTAGAGTGATGCTGTTGCATTTGCAGGACCCTCTCCCGCCTCCTCCGTGTTCCTGCCTGTGTGTGTTTTCGTTTCAGTCTAATGAAAAGCTCAGGTTCTCTCTGACCGATGTTCTCTTTTCCCCAGGAAATGGCCCACATCTTGGCCCAGAAACAGTTACGCAACATCATTCTCACCGTGAGTGTCCCTGGGAACCGAGACGCTGCCTTTCACGACCTGGGCTGTCTGTTGTGTGACTCAGCTGGATGGCTGGATGATAATCCAGAGGCTGTCATAGTCAGCTGGGAACCTGCCAGGCTTACCCCCCCCCCCCCCCCCAAATGAGGTTGAAGAGCTTGGTCCTAAACATCATGTGATTCTTCCTCACAACATTGACGTTTCTTGATCATGAAAATTCCAACCAACATCAAGCTTTCAGAATACACCTCCTTGCCTCGCTTGGTGTCTTACTCAGTTGGAGCGTAGTGATGACAAAATCTGAGTGTTACCCCCCTCCCTGTGCCTCCTCACCCACTGAGGTGATCCCTTCCTACCCACGCAGAACGTTATTCGGAGCACCAAGCCGATCAACGAGGAGATGGCCCACCAGCTCTATGTCCACCAGGTGCTCACCTTCAACCTTCTGGAGGACAGAATGATGACTAAGATGGACCCTCAAGACCAGGTGAGGCATCTTCTGGAGGTTCTGTGTTGACTGACCCGCTCCCCATTAGTGAGTTCTTTAACAAGTAGCTCCTTAATGGATCAACCCAATGTATCCATTCTATATCCATCCAAGGTGCCAAACCCCTGCAGGAAACATTTAGCTAAGCTTAAATTCAGTGTTTTTGCGTTACTTTCCCTGTCTACGTCTTCTCAGTGGTTGTCAGAGCTCATCCTCCGTACGTAAAAGCCCTTGCAGATCTGCTCAAAGGCCGTGGGCACTGGCTGAGTGACTCCGTTTCCGCCTTTCCCCATCTAGGCCCAGAGGGACATTATATTTGAGCTGCGTCGGATCGCCTTTGATGTGGAGTGTGAGCCGAACAACAGTGGCAGCATCGAGAAGCGGAAGTCCATGTACACCAGGGACTACAAAAAGCTCGGCTTCATTGTAAGTGGCCGTCGACCCTCCCTGGTGGCTCTTGGATTGACTTCGTCTTCAGAGTGATTTAGGTGCTCCTTATTTCAGTGTGGCTGCCGGTGGCGTACATGAATGGGACGTTTGGTATGGGAAATCTTGGGATTTTAACCGCTGGTACCAGGCAGACGTGTAAACACAGATCACAGTGACCCAGGTGAAAGAGAATTTTACCGCTTCCCTTTAGAGGGCGCTAGAGGGCAGCAGAGTACCAGTCTGAATACAACCAGATCGTTCCGATGTTCGGAACAGGATTCGTATCGCTTGTTCAGGCACAGGTATTAAGGGGTCCAGGAGCCCGTAAATGAGAGAGCCTTTGGGGTCAGGCTAAAAAGTACCGTTTGGATTCATCTCAGCCTGCCTGCCACCTTCCTCATGCAGAGCACGCAGCCTCAGCCTCTCGGGCTTCAGCGGTCCGTGACCCCCTCGTTTATCAGTCGTAGTTTATTGGTGCATCGCTTGATTGCTCGCTCACGGTGTAAAAGAACACTCTGGAGCCATTTTTCTTCCTCTTGTACAAATGCAGTTAAGTTTATCATTATGAGCACAAGGGTACGCATGCGGCAGACTCGAGTCGGGACCGCAGTAAAGCTTAGTGACACAGTATCGCTCTGATGCACACATGGGGAGTCTTTAAGGAGACATTTCATTGTGTTTTGTGTTATCATATCTAATGAAATGTTGGAATGAGAGAGTGACTATTCTTGAGTGTTGTAGGATGGTGTAGGATGAAGTGTTGATCACGTTTCTTGTTCTTCATGAGCTCATTAAAAATGGGTTTCAGAAAAATCGCACACATCTTTTGTTTTGTTTTTGCATCTTTCTGTCCTCGCTTCCTGTACTTCTCTGACGGCTCCGTTTCTGACTTGGCTTTCGAGGGGGGTGTCGTGGCACGTTGTGACCCGTGCAGCCTCTGAAGGTCACGCGCCTGTCCCCTCTGGCTGCCACTGCCACCGTGATGCGCCCCCCCACCCCCCACCCCTACTGAGCTCTCAGGGCAGATAACCTTTAAAGTTTTATAAAATAAAAGTCAACTGAATTTTATCTGCTGTTAGAAAGCAGTAACTGGTTTTATATTAATTTATGTCACTGTGTTATGAAAGCTAAATAACTTACTTAATTCTTAATTTAGTTGAATGCATCGTCTGTTTAATTTTTCATGGCTTCTGAACAACCAAAGAGACCTAAGCACTGATCATTTTGATAAGCATTTTTTACTCATGGTCTGTGGGTTTACCTCCATAAAATTTGATTAAACTCGACTGGAAATATTTATAGTGACTCCTCAGTATGCTGCTTTTAGCATAATTAGTTTAACATAATATGGCTCAGTCAATAGCTCAGTCAAAGCAAAAGGTTAATTAAGAAATGGCCTGTAATTGATGCCTGCATATCCTGAAGCCTGCAAGGACCCTTCCTTCTTTACAAGAAGTGACCTTGACATCTGGCGACCACATGACCCGAATAACGGCATCTCATTGGATGGTACCAAACTCAAACCCCTATTGATTCTAAGGCTTGATAAATGCAATTACAAATGTCAGAGTTAGTGGTGAAAGTGGAGGCCCACGCTTTGCTGAATTTTATTCAGTGATTATTTCAAAGTTCGACATATATTCACCTTGTTAGCAGCATTTAAGTCCTGCTAGGTTTCAGTCTCACCTGTCGTTTTGAAGGTGACCTGCTGGCTCGCTAGAAACCGTGGAGCTGCAGCGAAGCGTTAAAGGCCTGCTTTCCTAAGAGCCTGTTCCTTGTAAATCCAGTACTCAGTTCGTCACTTAATTAAACCAAAGTGGAGAAATCCTGAACTTTTATCAGCGGTCTCCTTTTGGGTCACAGACTTAAGGCTTTCTGGGAGGTGGTTTGGTCAAACTGTGTTTCCTTTCCCCGAGTCTCCATTAACACAACCCCAGCTGGAAGACTTCTAATAACTAATTAGCCAAACCGTTAATATACATCACTTCTGTTAATACCCAGCTGTGCAGTATGTCTTAAGAAAGCCGCATTTGGTTAAAGATGTACCTAGAGGGCATCATATATCAGCAGCTAATATGGCAGATGTGTCACGAGACCATGTGACTTAACATTAGTGATTCTCTGTATCGATATCTGCAGAGCCTGGGTCGTATAATGAGACTGCCTCCTGATTATGGAGCCCTGCAGCCTAACATGGGTGGGCTCCTAATTAATGCGGAGGGTGCAGCGGGTTGCGCGATGGATGAAGTCGTGTGCACTCATTGCTGCGTTCGCCTGGCTCTTGAGCCTAACGAGGAAAAAGAGGGCAGGACCACAGTTCGCAAGCAGGCTGACAGCAGACAAACAAATCCAGTGGTGGATGGTCGTCAAGGAGACGCTGCCAATGATACCACTGTACCCACAAACCACTGGCCAGCCCCATACTGCTGTTGTGTGTTATGGGGGGTGCATGTTTCTACCCTGTGGAGTGCGTAATGGTTCTCTGAGGGCACTGGAAATCGTGAATTTAATCAGTGGGCCGTCTTCAGACCCTGTGATTGTTGGCCAGATGGCGTCGGATGCCTGGCACGCTCTTATGGCCTCGTCTCAGCCGGCGAAGTGCCCCGGGGGTCACAGGCCAGGTGGTCCTTCCAGCATAGAACCCCCCCCCCACCGAGTCCTGGCCATTCATGTTTGCGGAAATAAACCACACTTTTCAGGTTCCGCTAGCGCGAGTGTGACTGATGCAGCGATGTCACTGCCATATGTGTGTGTTTTATAACTTGCGTCTGTCTTCATTCCCCCCCCCCCAGAATCATGTGAACCCGGCCATCGACTTCACACAGATCCCCCCAGGAATGCTGGCTCTGGACAACATGCTGTACTTCGCCAAACACCATCAGGACGCCTATGTCCGGGTGAGCCCCCCCCCCCCCCCCACGTTCCTCGTGCCACTGAGCTGCCCATGTCCATCCCCCGTGCCCATTAATCCATCTCTCGATTGCTGGCATCTTCCGCATGGGATGAATGAGTTTCACTAACCTGACCAGGCATCTTCTGCTAAGCGTCAGTGACGGGGGGACTGTGACCGTGACCGTGACCATGACCATGACTGCGACGTCCGTCCTACCGAATCCAACTTTGCTTCAAACTGCCAACCCCATTCACAGTTGGCCATTTGCAGTTGTCTTTGTAATTACTCAAAAAAATTCTATTTGTATATCTGTCAAATACAACAGCCTCTCTCCTTGATGTCTCGCATCCATGTTAACGAGATCGGTTTGTCATCGTCCTCAACAAAAGTCATAAGCGACGTGGCAGATTTTAATGTCCTGTGTCTAGCTGGTGTTTGTTGATACCGAGAACCTTTATAAACCCAGGAGGGTCGTCTCGTCTCCGGCCTGTGGGACGGCTGGCAAGGCACAAATAACCAAATGATGCCAATGTACCGTGTAGGTTGCGCATATGACATTACGCTTTATGGGGGTTTCTCGGACATCATGACTGACTTTAATCAAACTGATGGATTTCCACTTGGAAGCGCTGGTCACTTTACAGTCGTACACAGTCTACTGACCGGGACCAGCTAGAGGAATGGCAGCAGTAGCGTAGAATAATGGCCCCGCTTTTCCATCACCGTGGTTGTCATTATCCTCCGGTCTGTACTGAGCACTGCATTAAGTCATTATTGTCCTCTCATCTGTTTAATCTGGTCACCCCAGTCTCTTCTGGGCTTTCAATTAGACGGCTGGTCACAGAGTCAAACACACACGCACACACACACACATACGCACATACACACACACACACTTGTTCATGATGGTGGCATTGTCCGCAGAGCGTGTCCAGGCAGGCGAGTCTCCAGCTATCTGGAGATGTGATCCCAGATAGCATACAGGGTGCGGTTCTGAAATCCTTGGGGATCTTTGATGTTTCAAAGGCTGTCTGTGACCATACCTGTGTTCATGTGACCCGAAAGCTGCATAAAGTTCTCCATCAGACCGCAGGGTCTCCTGTCCCTTCGTGTGCGGGCGTTTCCGTAGCGCTACGTACTGTAGCGTTTATGCCGCACGGGCGAGGAACGCCTGGCTGACCCTGCTGCCCTCTATCTCCTCGGCAGATCGTCCTAGAGAACAGCAGCCGGGAGGACAAGCATGAGTGCCCGTTTGGCCGGAGCAGCATCGAGCTCACCAAAATGCTGTGCGAGATCCTCAAGGTCGGAGAGCTGCGTAAGTGTCTTGCTGAGGTCAGGAGGGACCTCGCTGTGGGGGCTGACGGGGGACACACATGTCATCATGCTGGTTCATGTCTTTGCCTGTATGCATGTACAACCTAAAGGGACATAAATTTGCATTTGATACAGATGATTTTTTTTAAATGGAGCTGGTCACAGTAAGTGTTCTGAAGGTCCAACTGCAGGGCCCCCTACAGCCAGTGTACCTGTCCAAAAGACTAAGAAGTGGATTGATGGGGGCCTTACCCTGGAGATGTAGGCCCTCAAATATTCAAGACAATTCATGTGTGCTGCGAAAACAGCCAAGGAAGGCTCAAAATTTTGATAATCCTTCAGTCCAATGTCCTTCAAATGGAAAATGTCTTCCTCCTCCTTACATGCACCATAATCGCGGATCCCCCCCACTGTGCCAGAGGGTCCCTGTTTCCCATGCCCCAGGTCCTTGGCTGTCTCTCATGCCACCTCCTCTCACTGTTCAGCCTTAGGCCTTTGTTGTGGCTGCTACATCCCCCACAGACCTACCTGTCTGAGACACCATGGAGGTGGCAAAATGGATAGATGTCCTCCCCCTCCCTCTCCCTCCCCCCCACAGCGCCTTATCTGGAACACCAGTGTTTTGGAGGAAGAGGCCAATCCGTGTCATCCGCCATTTATAAATGGAGGTGACCCCCAGAGCTGGGAGCTGAAAATAGTGGCTCCCAGCTAAGATGGCTGTCCTCGGTGGCCGGATAGACGGGCCGTTATACTCCGTAAGTGCGCCGGAGTCGGTCAATAAATAATGAGGCGAGAGTTTCCCCTTTCTGCCTATGTCCGGCTCATCGGCTGGGGTACTCCGTACCTGGGATTTGGTAATATAACCGTCTCGCAGCCCCACCTGCCCCTCCCTTACTGACACTGGTATCGTTTGTGACAGCACGGGGGACAGATTGTCCCTTTCACAGAGTAAAAAGACATTAACTCTGGTGATTGGCAGTTCAGTCTCCGTCCCTGCCTAGGCTGAGGAAATGGACTTCATCCTGACTCATTGAGCCGACGCTCTGAATTAGAGTGACCCCGAGTTAGATAAAGGCTTGCGTTTGCACCCCAGAGACGGGAAAAGTTAATATCACTGCCTGGTGATGATCAAGGTGCACATTGTTCAGCTCATGGAGACTGTCCACATTAATTAAAAAAGAAAAAAAAAAAAGAAAAGCTTTTTCTTGTTCACCTGCATGTGCATGTCTGCTTGTCTGTTGTGGTTATTCGCATTCATGCTAAATAGCTGGCTGGGAAATTTAAACTATCACGCTGTCATAATAACTTATGATTTAACTCCACACAAACACACATCCCTGATGTGACGCGGGGTGGATGTGTAACGGCTGTAACCAACGTGGCGTCTGTTCGCCGGTTGACGTTTAATCTCAGTCCCCCAAACCGGTGCGTGTTGGAATAGCTTTGTGCAGTTTCATCAGAATTATTTTTAATTAGCTGTACGGTTAATAAATCTGAGTGCTGCATTCAGATTAGGTGCGGAACCTCTGAGAAGGAAGGACTCAGCAGTTTATAGCGCTGTAGTATTTGCATTTGGTGTAACATGGCCTCCACGGTTCAGCTTACATTATGAAGCCGGATTTGCATGCATAAATAATGTGAAATGGCTTCCAGATCAAGCGGCCTGCACATCTTGTTAATGTGTGCTAAACACCCCACAGCAGTGTATGCACTCTGTAAAAACTTTGTCCTTGGTCTGTTCAGTCCTCATACAGTACATTCTTGGTGTAGAGTCCTCCAGCCTGTAGGGGGTGCTTATTTGGTGACGGGCAAACCAGCAAATCCTGTTCTTGCGGTTTGACGGTGTGCTCTGGCGGTCAGCGGAACTTTCTGCAGGACCGTGTTAAAGTGCAGGTCCAGTCAAGGGGGCAGCGATGTTACTGGACCGGTGTGCTTCCACGCTGCGCTCTAATGGGTGTTAAGTGTCGTATCCGTGGCTCCAGTCCGGAGTGGCTGAACAGAGGGGCTGCAGGGAGGCTGGAGGGAATGGAGCCGCAAGCTGCGACTGACCCGTGCCCCTCCCCTGTGTCATTATGGCTCCCTGGCGGGGGTTCGCCGCAAATGTGGGGTAATGAGCCCGATGCTTCCCATGTCCAGGGAAGGGCCGCGGTGCTGAGACACGTTAACGCACCTGCACGCTGGCTCTGGTCAGCCAGCTGGAAGGGCGCGATTGCCCCTGTGCCATTTGGACTGGATTTTCTGATCAATATGCGCTGCTGTGCAGAAACTGTGCCGGCTGAGAGTGACGTGTGGACGAGCCGCAGGCGGGGCTAACGCGGCGTGGTGATTAATGAGGCTGCCTGCTTGGTTTGATCATCCTTCGATGTAATGATCTCCTGGAGAGGAGGGGGGCGCTAGTCAGCTTCCGAGTGTCAGTGTGGTCAGAAACATGGAGACTGAAAGGAGGTGTGCAGCACCTCTCGCGGGTTTGTTTTGGTGTTCAGGCTGGTGTTTGTGGCGCAGGTGCCATTTTCGCTTACGTTTCTCCGAAACACTCCCCAGCGGAGAGGAGGAGTGGGGCGTCGCCGTTAGCGACAGGCCGCCTGTGAGCGATGGCTGCCGACTCTCATTTAACTATGGGATGGGCGAGGGAGCGTTTCTCGGCAGACGGCTGTAGAGAGTAAGAGGCTGATAAAGTATTAATGAGTCTTGGCGGGTGTTTCGGGCGGCGCTTAATTATGCTCAGCAGTGCGGCCATGTGGGCAAATAGATAGCGTGATGGAAAATTACGGCTTTACTTACAAATCAGTTATGGAAACGGAAAATGAGCGAGGCAGGGAGGTCGGCGGTGCTTTATAACCACAAAGTGGGCCCCGAAAAGGCTTGGCGGGGGGGGGGGTTAGCGGCAGGCACGCACCGCCAGGGAATGGCTAATGCACGCTATCGCTCCGGGCTGAAAGTGAGTTAAATGGACCCAAACAGAGACGCGGTACATTTCTTCATTAAAAAGTAATGCTGGCCTTTAAGAGCAGGCCTCGGAGTAGTCTGTTTGGCAGGGCTGTCTTCGCAGAGATGTTTTTGTGGGTGTGAGCACTACCCACGCCACTCCACCCCCCCAGCCTCGAAGCCCATTAGAGCCGTACGAGATGCAGCCATCTGAGGTACCTCCTGAAACGTCCATTTAAGGCTGGTGCTAATGGCATCCCAGGCTCCACACTGACGGACCCAGCTCAGCCCAGCGCGGAGCAGCTCCGCAGCCTGGTGTGAACTCCGCGGCTTCCATTCTGCTGCCGCATCCGGTTCAGCTGTGACCTCATCTCCAGGGTGAAAGGCTGGTGTAAACAGGCTCACCGTACTTCACATCACGCCCCAACTTACAACAGTTTAACAATGCGGTGGGTCCGATTCTCCCGTCTTGTGACATGACTAATTGAAAATGTTCCCAGGACCTCAGAGAACATTCCAGAAACGTAAATATAGAATATTCTCCCAGAGACCAAGTATTGGAGACGGCTCTTGTTTTCAGCGAACGGTTCATGGAATGTTCTGGTCCTGGTGGTGAAAAGCGCATCTACAGGGGATTTTAAACCAACAAGAAGAGCTACTCCACTGTCCGTTTTCCCACCCAATTCCTGAGCACGTTCTCTGGAAAACCTGACAGGTTTACACTGGGCCAGTGCTGTTCTGCTTATGTTATCGGAATGTTCCCAAGCTTATTGTTTACTGGGACTCGCTGCTTGAAAACAGCGGGTTGAGCGAGTGTTGCTCAGAATATGTGCCGTTCTTTCATGAAGCACGCGGTGTGTTTGGCATGGCGATAGTGACACAGGGGGAAAAACAGACAGAGGAAGCTTGTCGTCTGCTGGATGAGACACCTCTTTTAGTGCGAGAAAGGGGGTGGAAAACTTCAGCGATCACACCAGAGCCTCCAGTGTGGGCCCAGAGGCGCTCAGAATAGCAAACGCTTTATGATGTCTCCTACACTATGGTTAGGGGCAAGGCAGCATTAACACAAGCACTGGGTCTCTCCACAGCCAACACATTCCAGTCTCTATGCTCCCCCCCACACCCTACATTTGTGCATATCGTCTTTGCTCGTACCCTGATTCAGCACCATGATGAAAGCAGCTGGTGGCCTGCAAGTCTTATGGATCGTGCTGTAATCCAGAGCCTGGCTCTATCCCTGTAAAGGTCGCAAAAGGCCCTGAAACCCAAAACCTGGCCATTTTGACTGGAGATGAAAGCCGCCGGCTGCAGTTTGGCGCTTTTCGTTCTGAAAGCGGCTTAACAACCTTGCTGCTTCGAGTCGGCCGGTTTGCACGGCCCCGTAACTGGACCTACCAAGCCCTCCGGCATCGAGCATCGCCGTGACGCGGTGCTGTCCATTACACCGACCGCGGTGGTCCTGTGAGGCGCTTTCAGTGTGATGCACTCCCAGCCTGTGATATGTGAGGCAGTCTTGCTCCTTAACACTGTAGGTGTGGTGCAGTTACAGGGAGGGGACCATAGGCGGCGTAACAATTTATGGAAAGCTGCTGGCTCAGGTCAGAGAAGCAGGCCTGCCGCAGGATGCTTTGCTTCCACAAAATATCCAGATGTGTAAGATGAGAAGTTTTAAAATTGCAAATTTATTAGGAAAAACTTCACTTAAGTAAGCTTTTCATGGATGTTTGCTGATGCATGCTAAAATTTAGTTTGTATCTTTTTAACTCTCTTCTCCTATAATTATGTCTTATAATTCAAATGTAACTGAGTAATTTGTATACTAATTTACATAATATAGTGGCCAGGCAATAACCTAAGACACCCCAATAATATATTTTATACATTTTTATAAAAACCCTGCACAGCGAGAAACCAAACAAAAATGGCCACATTTGGGATGTGTCTGTGTTCTGTGTGAACCCACCTCATTCCTCTCCAGCAGTGTTTACGTAACATTAACATACACAGAAGCTAGCACTGCCTTCAAAGTGATAAATTCCCATATGCCTGATAATTATAGCACAGATAATTATATCA